ATATATATATATATAAAAGAGTTTGTTCATTGAATTTGATTGGGCCAAGTAGTATTCCATATGATATTTAGTACATTAGCCATAGGACTTTTGATATTGCTGAAATACGTGTCATAAGCAAATCTGCTCTCCAGATCAGCAAATCAGCTCTGAAAACCTCATATCAGTCAAACAACTTAGAGCATTATAATAGACTCACTTCTCTCCCTGAAGTTTGTTGGTTTTCACAATCAAGTCCTGGGTTTGTTCTTTGGCTGCCTGTTTACACACAACATGAAAGCTGAGTTATGGAGAAAGAGCATGTTGGCCCTTCAACTACATAAATTCAAGTATCTTTTTTCAAACCCTTGAAATGCCTTTCAAGTTTTTTTAAATAGTTAGTTCTGTTGCATTAATGAACCATGATTTTCCAAAAGAGAAATATGCATATAAATGCATTTTTCTGCTAAATAAATGCAAACATAAATAATTACCTTCAACCTGTTGGTCATTTCTTCACAGCAGGAGCTCATGGCCTGAACATCTTCATGAACGCTCTCAAGTTCCTGAAGCAGAAAGACATACTCAAGAGCTGAGGATGAGTCCTACTGTATACTGCAGCAGACATCCACTAGTGCTAAAGAGGTTATATGCAAATGAAGCAAAGTTTATTGTGTAAACCACCTCAACAGCATCATGTTTACATTTAGTCAGACGCTTTTCTCCAAAGCGACATGTTATTTTAGTATCATTGATATACTATTATAGTTTTTGTTAATATTTTGAATTAGTTTATTTTCATAGTTTCTGTTTTCATTTTAATTTTAGTTAAAGTTAATTTTGTTGTGTGGTTTTGTCATTTATATATATATATATATATATTTCTATTTAGCTTTCATTTATATTTATTTCAGTTTTAGTAATTTTAGTACTTCAACTTGTCTATTTTCTATTTTAATATATTGTAAAATGTTACTTATTTCTTGACAAATGTTTTCAGGATTCTTTGAGGAAAAGAGAGTTCAAAAGAACAGCATTTACTGGAAATATATACATTAATTGTAACAATGTAAAAGTCCTTACTGTCACTTTTGATCAATTGAATGTGTCCTTACTGAATTAATTAGCTATTAATTAAAAAAATAAATTAAATCATTATCTTAATGGCCCAAACTAAATAGTTTTCAGTGCAAGCAAGAGTATAGAAGTGAAATGCATAAATACACATTGTAATTTTAATGTAATGTACTTTGTAAGATGATAAATAATTTAAAAAAAGCCTCACAGGCATCTTATGTAATGTAACAGTTTGATTTATGAGCTGCTTTTTTTAATAGTATTTTTTGAGCTTATGTATTGTCAAACTGTCACTGTGAATTTACCTCCTTCACTTTCTTAAATATCCGTACAAACTCTTCATTGATGGACAGGCTGCGTCTCTCGATGTCTCCTCGAAGGTTCCTCCTGGTTCTCAGACTGTTCTCAGTGAAAAACACAGAGAGAGATGTCAACGCTTCCAGCATCTCCTAGAAAAAGACAAAAAATAAAAAATAAAGAAGTGAGGCAACAAGATCTTCACAGCTGCTAGTTCATCAACTGCATGTTGTCTACGAACATCAGATGACAATTGCATTTACAACATATATAGGCTATGTTCTTATCAAAATAATATTACTGCAATCACCTTCTCCATTCAAATGTACTGTAGTGGTACAATGGCAATTCTATGGTTGCTCGATATACTAGGTAGACTACTGTTCAAAAGCTGATAAGCTATTTTTAATGTTTTTGAAAGACTCTTAAGCTGATCTGATGCTCAAGAAACATTTCTTATTATTATCGATGTTGAAAAAAGTTGCTGCTTAATATTTTTGTCGAAAGCATGATCATTTTTGGGGGGGATTTTTGATTAATAGAAAGTATGTAACACTGTAGTAATCTTTTCTCTCAATTTTGAGTATTTAATATGCCCTTGCTCAATAATAGCATTATTATTATTTTTTTATTTAAAAAAACCGTACAGACCCCATAGGCTGCATTATACTGTACCATGGTGTATGTTAAAAAGAAGAAGAAAAAAACACATGACATTACCATGGTACAATGTCTTAAAAACATATTAACATATTTACAGTTGGACATGTACCATGGTAGTACCATAGTATTCTTTGAAGTATATTGGAGTACCATATAAATACCATAGTACATGAATTTCAAGTATTATAAATGGGTTGGACAAAATAATGTGAACAACTGGGTAATATGCCATTTTGCTTTATTATAGTGTTTTACTGTATCACCATTTGTTTTAATACAACTTCAAACCTTCTTAGAATAGATTTATATACATTTTGTTTTTGAATTTTCCTTCCAAATCTATACACAGTGGTTTAATAATATTCAAGTCCAGTGATTGAACTGGCCTGGGTAGACGTTGAAGTTTATCTTGGTGCTCCAACTGCCCAGGTTTTGTTATCACGATACCATCTTTTTCACATTTTAGCATTAGTATCTGTGACTAATTAGAGCTTTTTCTTGGATGTTGGATTTATTAAGTTCTTCGTGGTCGATGTTTGGGGAAACAGGGTCTTCAGTGTGATTATTGAGGTTTGCTGTCACTTTGCTCCAGCAGTTCTGTGTTGTTTGGACACAATCCCTACAGTTCACTTCCCGCCCAGTGTTGTTCTTTACTAATGAAGTCTTGCCATATGTTGTGTACATAGTCTTAATCGCAAAGACTATTGTTCTTAAAACACCAAACAATTGGGCTGTTAAGGTTACAGATGCTCCTGCTAAATGGGCTTCCATGATTTGCCCTTTTTGGAAGTCTGACAAGTTCCCTATTTCACTCATGGCTTTTACTGAACTGCTGAAATCAACTTGTACAACAGTGAAATACAACCTAGATCAGTGGTTCTCAATTCCAGTCCTGGCAACCCCTCGCTCTGCATATTTTGCATGTCTCTCTTATTTAACACACCTGATTCAGATAACCAGCTCGTAAGAAAAGAGATCCATGCATGAACTTTGTTCCGATTGACAGGATTCCTACAAAGTGTTCATTGTTCCCTACTCCCTGAGCACGGGAGATCCCGTCAAGTGTGACATAATATACCTCAGTAAATAAATACAATTTAAATTCACGTCTCGCACACTTTAATGCCCTTTGAATGGAACATATACGCTCCCTTCTAAATGGAATCATGGCGGAATATCCTGTGAAGTCCACTTCGCAGGGCACTTACGATCGAATAGAACAAACATCTGAAGTGATAAGAGATACATACAAAATATGCAGAGCGGGGGCTCGCAAGGACTGGAATTGAGAAGAACCACTGACCTAGAGAATATAGACAATGTAAAGACAACTGAAACATTTGCTTTTCACTATAGCCTACACAATATTAAGTATATTAACCCCTACAATAACTGGTGTTCACATTTCTTTGTCCAACCCCCGAACATGACCATGTTGTAACATATCCATGTACAAATGTAAGGTTTGTGTAATGATCTGACATGCAGAACACCACGCTACTGAAATATGATTTACCGTGTACCATTAGGCCTACTTTTACATGAAATAATTTCATTATACTATTTACAAAAAAACATCCTCCAAAAAAGATATTATCATGGTACTTATCCTATCTCTAATTGAGGACTGCTTTATTATCTATGTTTGAAGAGTATACATGTGCAATTTATTATATAAATTAGAGACTCAGAAATTATGTTTATTTGCTTTGTTTTGTTTTCTTTTCTTTATATTAATTATAAGGGCCAACGATTTGTAGTGACAGGTGCACTGCGAGTCTAAAAAGTCAGCTACTGTGCCAAACCTTGTCATTATCCAGCCTGGTCTCCAGGATCTTGTTGAGTTTTCTGGATAGAGGGTTGTTGGGCTGTGAGGACGCATTCCCGCTGCTGCTAGAGGTGTGAAGGATAGAGGCATCAATTGACAGCTCTGCTTTAGTCTCTGCCATCATCAACATCCACGTCAACCTCCAGGAAGCTGTTTTGAGTAACCAGAAAAACGTCCCACTGCAACAACAAGAGTTGGACACATTAGTTCCGCGCCTCGAGCTGTTAACGTTTGCGCAAAAACCTAAATCTCCAGAAATGAGGGTGTCACCCTTTGAGAGTGTCATTGAAGAGAAATGTCTAATGTTCTAATGTTATACATAGACTAATAATGTTTTAAACATTTTAATATATTTACATAAAACATATTTTATAAATAAATATATAATATATTATTAATACATATATATTTTCATAAATATATTTTATACATAGTAATGATAATGACAACGAAATAATAACGATATAATATTATTAGAATATTATTGTTATATAATTTATATGGTTTATATTATTAAATATATTTTAGTAAAACATTTTAGGGTTATGGTTTGGTTTGGGCTTTTTATGTTTTTAATTATAGATAACGTTATACTTAAAAACAATAGAAAGATGTCGTACGTCCACATTTAATTATATACAATCCCCATAAAGATAAAACCTGAAAATAGGCCTACCTACATTGTGGGGAGCGGCTATTGCTTTTTTTTTTTT